CAAAGATTTTATATTTTCTATCCTTGAAGATCGTTCAGCACGACATTATTGTTGTGTATACATGTTATGTGGTATTTTTAGTTTCTTCTATTAAGCCTTTTTCAACTTGGGTGGTTCCAGTAGTCCTATTTGAATACTGTATTTATAATCACCCTTGGGATATGTTGTCTGCCTTTTTTCTTCTTTCAATTTGGGACCATACGTCACTTTTCATGGAATGACATTATTGTGTCACATTGAAGGCTCCATGTTAACCGCCGTATAAACACATCTGCTGATGTTTCTAAATTCAAAATTACATCATTTCCGTGTTTAAATGTTGAATTTTGCAAAAGCCGGTGTTAGGGGGGCAATGGCTTAACATTTTTATAGCATGCGCCGAAGTATATAAAAACAAAAGCGATTTAATCCTTCATTGCACTATAATTATAGTCGTGTACGTATCTTTTTTCATTTTTCGTTGCAAATAACGGACGCTTATCAGGGTCTATATTTAAGGAGATGTTTTGCGCAGAGTCGACTTATTTTTTTTTCTTGACGGCAATTTATAAAAAAAGATATGATATTAGTTCCTCTTCATAGGGGAAAACATCAAATAAATCAGTACGTAGAGCGAAAAAACAGAAAACCACGTACAATCTGAGTTCAGAACGTTTTATATTTAAATTAATCTAATTAAGCGTTTTGAGCTGGCTTTTATCAGAAAAAAAGAAACGATAAATTGATGTACGTACATATATACATGTATTTTAACTATTTTGCGTAAACTAATTATCAGTCTCTTTTTATCTCTATTTCGCAGTTTTTATGATACATTCAAATGTTTTTACAAATTTAATGTAAACTAAACCGGTTCAATATTGATACATTTCTTCAACATTGGTCTTTGCTTCATGCAAATATTTTTTATATAAATTGTTTATTCGTGACAAATAGTAGCATACGTACAATTATAACTTTTAAATGTACAATTAGGAAAGTCTTATCCCGCGCAATAGTATTTGATATTTTAACACAATGTTCAATAAATAAAAATAAAAAAATAAGTAATTATGAATTTACAGCAAATGTAAAGTGACAGAAGTGAGATAACTACAGACAGACGTGAGGTAACAGGCAGAAGTGAGATAACTATAGACAGAAGTGTGATAACTACAGACAGAAGTGAGATAACTACAGACAGAATTGAGATAACTACACACAGAAGTGAGATAACAGACATAAGTGAGATAACTATAGACAGAAGTGTGATAACTACAGACAGAAGTGAGATAACTACAGACAGAAGTGAGATAACTACATACAGAAGTGAGATAACAGACAGAAGTGAGATAACTATAGACAGAAGTGAGATAACTACAGACAGAAGTGAGATAACTACAGACAGAATTGAGATAACTACAGAAGAATATATTAACCTGTGGTTTTGAAATAAACAATAAGTACATTAAGTAGTTAATAAATTACTTGATTTTCATACGCTATTTGACAAAGTCAATGTTTACTTTTAATTTTTTATTCGAGTATGGAATGATAATTATCCGTTTACATTATATCTTATTCCCTTGGTATTACTTTTGTAAGGTATGTTAGATGACCGAGTAAAATTATTGCACAAAAATTAAACAAAGTTTTCCAATCTGTACTTCTTCTCCCGATGTGAAACCTAAGAAAGGTAATTATTTAAATAATAATGTTAATATGTCAACCTAAGAATACATAATAATGTACTTTAGAATTATAATGCAACATTGCTAATTTTGTATGTAAAACAATTTAAACAAAATATAACAATAATGTTTACTTTTTGCCGTTCTTGTTGTTGCTGCTGCTGCTGTTGTTGTATTGTTTAAGTGGCGTCCGTGGCCAACTTATGAAAGTCGTTGACTTCTAGTTGCTTGCCCCTTATGATTTTAAATCCCATAAGGGACTAACGATTCTTGTATAATGTGGGGAAGCTTTCCAACTAGTTTACGGCACATCGGTGGTTCCGCTCAGATGCCTTCTCGTGTCAGACCAGGTACACTTGAGGTCTCTCTTCACTACTAAAACATGACAGTCGACATACGACCTTACTTCGTGGGTGAGATATTTAACATAAAAATACTGATTTTCAAAATTTTACTGTTTTTCAGAACTAATATCACTACTATATACCACTTCACTTGGTCATGAAGGCAACGTCTCAGGTCATATTTTGGGGGATTATGGGAAATTGATGAATAATAAAGTCATATTCTTAAGTATTCTATTTAAAATAAATAAATCCTGGCCCTGTCACAAAGATTTAATGATCTGTATCAAGATCAGGATTAAATATAAAAACTCAAATATTCTCTGCTGTTTATCCACGTATTTTAGATATGATAAAACTGGATTTGACATAGCATGTTTATGAAATTTCAGAAATAACTAATTGTTATATTTGCAAGATATGAGTATTTTGAAGTTGATCAAAATTTTGATCTTGATCCTGGAATAAATCCTTACTTTGATTTTTTTTATTTGTGTTGTTATTCGTTGATTTAAAATAGGTTGGTTGTTTTGCAAATCATTTTTTTTTCATATTTAAATATAGTTAAATACAATCAACACACAGGACAAAGAACCCTTTGAATCATATCAGGCATTTGTTTATCTAGCCGGCTGATCATCATGTTTGCAGATATATATATATCTATAAATATCGAGAAATAGAAACCAACCTATTTTAAATCAACGAATAACAACACAAATAAAAAAATCGTATCAAAGTAAGGTCTTAATACAGGGGTGATCTTAATTCCGGAGTGGTCTTAAGTAGGGATTCTACTGTACTGTATTCTGCAATATTAGATGAACGCAGTAGAATCGCCTTGAAAGCGCAGTGGTCGCCGTGACAGTACCGTAAAGTCGTAATAAGAGGTTTTAAAAAAAAATAAAGCTCCGTACAAGCGCCGTACACACGCAGTATAGGCGCGATAGAGACGCCGCACAATCTCCGTACAAGCGCCATGGCTAACAAAGGCGTTCATTCGGCGTTCCTTTTACGCTTTCACGGCGCTCCTGTTGAATAGGAGATGTGAGTTGCTACGGCGTCCTTATTTTGATTCCACTGCGCTCTTATCAGAACGCCGAGTGACGGCGTTTGTTTTGAGCATGCTCAAACTGCGCGCCGTCGGTCGGCGTTCTATGCGATGCTGCGGCGATGCTACGCTACGGCGATGTTTGCGATCTTACTGCGCTCACCTCGGCGTTCTGAAATTTCTTATGACGCCATGAGAACGCCGTCCTAGTGTAACAGGGGTTTAAGGTTTTCAGTCACAGATATGTACAACTTTTCATTATTTATTCTTTACAATATGTTACTCGGGAAACAGATGTAAATGTTGAGTGCGTTGTTGTAAAATTATGCACTGTTCGTGTTTATATGCGCAGGAATATAATCACGAAGGCCGATATATCGGAGTGAACCGTGCAATATCATACTTCAACGCAAGAAAGATTCTAACAAAGAGAATTGATAAAAATAAGAACTACATTGAGCGTAGAAGAAATTTCCTGTGGTCATTTAACGTAAGCATTCCTTTTTCAGTCTGCATATGTCGTTAAGTAATGCATTCGACTGTCCTATCTATTTAATAGCAGACTATTGTGAAGCCTGTTAAATTTATTTATATAAAAATTTACCTTTATCTGCAATGTATATAACTACATGTGTGTTAATATACAATATACAGTTGTAATGCAAAGTGAGATGAACACATTTTTTCATTTCCCCCTGTCTGTCGATAACTTTTATTCTGTTGAAAAGTTTATAAGATGACTTGACACATGTAAGCCAACGATTACTTTTTAACTGCTGAAAACTTTCAAATTAATTTCGGCGCAAAGGATCATCATTACGAAATACTATGTAAAGTGATGTACTACCCATGGTCAAGGTCACTTCGCGTTTGCTCTTTAATAACTGAATGAAAATATTGGGAAGAGCTGAATTTGTGTACTGATTTTCATTTTACAGGTAAATTAAGAACAAAATAAGTGGTTAAGTAATTAAGGTTTGCTTAGCAATGTATACAAAAGTTAATATGATTGTATTTTCCTAACAAACAATCCATGCATGAAACAGGAATTATAAAATTCAAAGACTCAGTATGATGAAGTTTGAATTTATATAAACCAGCAAGAATACAATAATTAAGCTTCTCATTATTAAGATTTGTCCGACAGCAAGCAATCACAATGTAAAGAACTTTACAAGAAATAGCATTATTTTATAAGAATATTGTTGAACATGTACAGATAATTTTCTAGACAATGCTACCTAGGTCCACTTGTAACAAACCTTTGATACATCGATCTACAGGTCTATGATCGATTACAGTGGCTTAGGCGTTATTCAAGATTATCTTGGTAGTGACTTTACTCACAATCTCGAAATTTGTATTAAAATATTTCACTCTTTAACTTTTTTGTGTGTTTTATTTTAATCTGGACGAGCCGAAAGTTCGAACACAGTGAACTTGAGTCAAAAGTACAACTGCAAATTTGCTAGATTTAATCTGGAATCGTTCATTAAGCACTATTTTACAGTTTGTACTTAAGTTTAGTGAAGTTAAGTTTCATCTGTCATATTAAAACAAATGTATTAAGTTAAATGATACATTTTACATATAATGGGAATATGAGCTTACATTTATGGCAGAGACAAAGTTATTACTCGCTCTCTGTGTCAAAGGAAGCCAAATAATGAATTAATATGTACACAAATTTACTTCGTAACAATAAAGCCAAACAAGCTGTTTAAAATGTAAAATTAATTGAAATCTTATAGCAGTTTACTCAGTTTAAAAGTCTTATTATCATTTGATAATACTTATCATTTATTCATAAAATAGCTACAAATGCTTTTTTCATGAAAATTATGTATTAATTATGAATGTCACTTAAGTCTTTACAAAATGCCTAAATGCTTAAACAAAAACACAACAACAACAAAAACAAAACAAAAACATAAAAAAAAACAAAGTGATAAAGTATTTGGATGATGAAAATTGGAAATACAATTTTTTTAACAACACATAGTATGATATTTATGCAAAAACATGTACAGAAAATGAAGTAGAATACATTTTTACATGTATAGTGAGACATACCGTAGATATGAAAATTACATAACTTTAAAACAAATTAATTTTTTTAAAAGTAAATGAAGAAAGTCACATATCCCTTTAATTATCCAATAAACACTATTTTACAATTTGAACATGAGTTTATTGAAGTCATCTGAACGTAATAAATGGTTCCTGGTCTTTTATTAGCCACAGACTTCTATGGTGACAAGATTACATTGAAAAAGAGAACTTACTCTAGCAAATTATTTAATCATTTTTCTGTTTGAAATTGTGAAAAATTAATTGAAATATTTCGTTTAAACCAACAGCTAAAATAGTTTTAGCTCGGGGGTCTGAGTAACAGCTGATCAGGAAACAATGAAAGAATTAACAATATAGTTCAGGATATTTAGTTGTAACTAAGTAGGTTTTTGACATCTAGAATATTTAAAAGCTTTATTTCAATGGCAATCTGTTTTAACACCAATATTTTAATTCAAAGTATGTGTTTCTAATATGAAAAGTTTGGAATAAAATCAAATACGATATGTTAAAAACATACTTTCAAAGAATTCAATGAACAATATTTCTAGTATGATATTTGTAAATACAAAAGTACTTGAAAATACCCTTAAAAGAATTTGCGTGCAAATATGGAGCATAACACATTCCTTAACAAGTGAAAAGGACACACATTGTGGTAATCATAATATCCTTAGATTGTTCTCAAATCATTTGAAAACAAAAAAATCTATCTTGCCAGAGGTCAATTTGTTTATTTAAGTATTTCCCTTTATTTACATTATGATAATTAACATTGATACTGTCTAGATTCGATCCATTTCAAATTTATTGTTTGTGTTTATTTTTTAAGGAAATCTTTTCTGTTAACAAATCAAAAGAATATTTCTTCAATGATCTGTTTGATTAATTATTTCATATCACTATTCCGCATGAAACCTCACTATCGCATAGAAAACAAAAAATGTTGTAATAAGTTCACATAGATATAGCATAAACAATTGAATATCCTTTTTCTTTTCCAATTTCGAAACGATATTTATATATTGAGACATACATGTACATATAGCTGATGATAAGAAATCAATTAAGTTAAAGTTTAACATTTGCCGTTTTGAAAACATCTATAAATATAAAAAAAACAAACAAACACAATGCTAGAGAGGGCCATCATGATGCATAAAGTCTGATTTATATAAAGCAGAACAACATACATGTTGTATAATATGTTAAGTAACTTTCTTAGGCTTTGTATTTTACTACGAGTAACGTCGAAAAACTTAATTCTCTAGAGACTGAGTTATTATTTACCAATAAATTATAATATAAAAGGAGATCAAATGAATTGAACTTCTATAAGTTGTTGTGTATAATCCAAATTATCCCACATCTATTTTTTCTTTTATCTCTTCTATAGCAATTTTTTAAATATGAATCAGATTAACAAGAGTATTATAGTTCGTACCTGTTTTATACGTAAATAGTCATATTACATGTATATGTGATAATGGCTACATATGTCTCTAAAACATCTTATTTGATTAGTATTTGCAATGTATATGAATTTTATGTATTATACGTGTATTTGTAAATGTGAGAATTAAGACACTTAAATAAACGAATATATACTTATTTCACAAACAAAAATATAGCAGTCAAGAAATAATATCAATGATGGATATATACATGTACACCACTTTTGTGAAACAGGCAGCGAATTACTCAATGCTGTACTGTATAAAACTCCTCTATTACATTTCATGCGTGAAGATATTGAATGTTTTACTTATTGACAAGAATTCCACTGAAGGTGTTCATCCTCAAACTATCTTGATATAAAGCATAACCGGATGAGCCAGCCAAACATTTAACCCATATCTTCTCTGACGATTTCACTCTTATTACTGCAGAAAAGGAACTGCAAGGATAGAAGTCTGCATCATGATCTGACGACCTAGCAATCACGTTTCCTGATAGCACCAACGCAAGAGGCGAATATTGCCTGATGTATGTACAATAATTAACAATGAATTGGTACAATCCCCCGACAGGTGCTGTGAAGATCCCAGTGGAAGTGTCATATCCTGATCCTTCATTGGTCGTTGCTGTGTCAAATATAATGATTTTGTCTGTTCTGTCAAGCTTTAGATCCACCACATTGTGTGCAAAAAATCCTACGGAAGGCTTTTTAATGTTTTCTGTAAATTAAAAAAAATACTTGAGAAATGTATTTAGATGGATATCGTTCATTAATCTGCCACGAATGATACGATTTACATTTACTTGCTTTAAAAATGAATACAATGAGAATCAGGGACAAGATATTTTAAATAAACATCAAATCAAAATACCCACAAAACGAGTGCTCTGGCTTGACCTCCAGCTTCCGAAAAGAAACTTATACGTATATAAAGGAGAAGAAAAAATTAACACAGCTTAATTCTAATTCATATCTTGATATGATTTATACGTTTTTAATACATGTATCTATGATTATTTATTTGAATATACAATGATAATATAAATTATTGTCGCATTCATCTTTACTATTGAGCTATGGATAGGAAAATACTTGATTAATGTGCTGATATTCTTTAATCTTACCTGCAAGTTCTATTAACACCTTCCTTCCTTCCTCCATATCAGTTGTGAAATTATTCCGTAGTTCTTCAAATGTTTTTCTCAGTATTTCTGTCAAGAATAAAACAAAATCTTGGTCAACATGTCCCACATAATTCTTAACGTAGTATACCTAAAACTTTGAACCAGATTATGGACATTTTGGACCGAATTCATTTACCAAGATAATGTGCAGTTATAAACAAACATAAAAAGAAACACTGGTTTAGAAACGGAATTAAACTATTCTTCCACAAGGCAACAAATTCAAAACACAGTTCAAGTCTTAAATTGTGGTAGGCATGCTTATAATGCATGATATCGTCAATGTATCCTAGCACACGCCTAAGCATAATTTAAACCAAAATATAAAAGACGTATGCACTTGTATTTTGTTCATATGATATATGATTGAAATCAAAGTACATTTAATACGATACGTTTGAAATTCCCAATTAATTAATGTATATAATTAATTCAAACGATTCAAACATTGGCGGAACTTTCAAATCTAAATTTACGCGGGTATGATTGACAGTTGTCTAAACAAATTTTAAAAATGAACGTTTTCAAGAATAGTGAATGAAGTGATGTTGTAAAAGAAATGTAGAATTATAACTCGATTTGCAAAATTCAACGCTATAATCTGTATCAATGAATAATGTTGTAGTCATTAGCTACATACATTATGATTGTAGTTCTAGAAATGGAAACACTAATTGTAAAGAATCGATACTTTCTCCAATGATTATAGTGACATTATGCCCATCCAAGGGTATATAGTGAGTAAACAGGCGAAGATCAAAATAAATTTTCTCATTTTGCCACAAATCCTTTCAATTTAATAATAACTTTCGCATAAACAATAAATAACAAACAGATTCAAACGAAATTTCTGTAAATATCCATTAGAATTTACCTATAACGCTTAGTTTATAAAAAGAGTGGGGCAGTCTTTTTAAGTTTAAGGCAGATTTATAATTTTATTCTAAACATGTCCAATATCAACTGTTGGTCAAACACCATTTTGACAGTCAATCTTTTCAAATATAAAGTCAATTAAGCTCAACATGACTATGAACATATGCGCATAATGTCACTTTAATTTAAATTTTGAACCTTCTGATTATATGCTGAAAATTAAGAATTGTACATGTATAAATTCTACTCAAAATCTTATATAGCACAAAAATGAAATAAAATATTGAACTTAAAACAAATATATTAATCAATTTAAGGCAATTCGGTGCTGTATATTGGTTTTAGAATAGCAATGTTTACTTGAATGAACGGTATTATTCATTTACAAAGTATAAGAAGAATTGTCATTAGAATAATTTATTAGCAGATGTTGCTGTTACAAGGCTGTAATAAATTTCCCTAAAGAATTGTAGCAGAAATAGTAAATTGAAATGTATTACATTAGATAAATACATTACCTTCATTTCTTTCTTTGTCGCGGATGATTCCTTTCATCACCTCCGTGGCATTGTTCTGCACGGACTCCAGTGTTTTGAACACCTCTACACTAGTTTTCTTAATTTCCTCCAGCGTAATGGAAACAGTTTCTTGCGTTTTCTTTATATCATTCTGCATCGTTTCTACTTTTATTTCCTGCCTTATCATTTTCTCTAAAAGTTGCTCATCATAAGCAAATTTTGAGCACATTGGTTCATTGGCTATAGACACACTAAATTGGTATTTTAAGAGTAAAAGAAAAAACGCACAAGATCCAGAGATTAACATTGTGTCCTTGTTTGTCGGAGACGCTAACTGAAAATGAACTAAGGCTTCAACAATTTTCTGAAAGGAGCCCCCGCTGTTGCTGCTACTTCGCTTCGCCGTATTTTGAATTCATGTCAGAGGGCTGGTTAAAAAGTTTGTGTATTCTAAAGAGAAATGTTGATTTAAATACCGAAACTTCTCATGCCTTTATTTGAAGCAAAACTATTATTTTTCTATAACCAATTTTATTTTGACATATATTTCGTCGTGTGTATTGATATTCATATGCATCTCAATTAATTAATTGAAATGAAATATGGAAAATTTAGTTTTACAATGTTGTAGCTTTATAATTTTGGGCATTATGTGACTTATTAGACGCCGCGTGCATGCGGCGGCTAGTAGATATGCATTCGTCCATTCAGCAGTAGGGAGAATTTAAGTCTTGATTTTTTATTTCTTTTGTTTTAAAGATGCTGTAACTCAATTTCGTTATAGTTTTATATCAAAAATATAATGCTCAAATGCAGATTTATCAATTTTGTAAGTTCATAAAAGCATTATTTGTAAAGATATTACTGAATTTACATTTCATGTAAATAAAAGGAGCAATTAATTAAATAATTACAAATTGATTTTCTATAATGTCTTAGTCAACTTTTCAATAAGAGATGAATGTATATATTTGAATGATTACATATAATGTGGACAAATATTTGCAGTAAATATTTAACATATTCTTCGATGTTTGAAAATTGATTTAGAAGCATAATTAGAATTTCTCTTAAGTGTGGTAACAACCTTAATTACAACATACAGGATCTTTAACAAAATTACACTGTTTTCAGATTCTCCAATACAAATAGCTTTTGTAATGTGCAACATGTCATCGAGCTTTAAGGAACTAAAATATACGTTTAACTTAAGTGATAGTGCCTTGTTTTAATATCATATTCTTTCTATTTTGATCTTGTTTTATTTACTAATAACGTGCCAGTTAGCCATTCTATAGTCTAATGACGGGAACCAAATTGTGAGAGGAACCAGGGGTATGACTTAAATACGCAACGGAGATTACGGCCGCAACTGGCGCAACGGACATTATTTTGCAAATCAGTGACAACGCATGCTTATTCATGAAAATCATTAACATTTAAGTAGCAAAACAGATTAACTGAGTGAAACAAATTAAGTTTGTTTTAAATGTATTACAAATACATGTATTGGCGATAGGTTGCTTTGAAGGATTCAATACTGGTAAATTAGCCTTGTAATGGACATATTCTTGGCGCAATGGAGATTATTTTCTATAAAAAGAACAATGTATGGTTAAAATAACAATTATCAAACTCAAATTATATGTATTAAATGTAGTATCAACATAAAAGTTTGATGTAAAATATAAAAGGAAATAAAATTATTTTAATGTTTTTGAATATATGCTTACGAAATGGACTTATCCGGGATTCCAGCGCAACGGAGATGATTTTGTATACGGTGCACAATAAATGTTTATAAATTACAATTATCGAACTAAATTTATTCTGTATAGTGAACATAATATCATAATGGTAGTTTGTGAGCACATATTCAGAAAAAATAATTGGTGCTTCGGATATTCAACTGTAATAGAGAACAATTGTCAAGGCTGATTTTGTACATTACCTGTGACTGTTCACATTATTTGGCGACGTCTTTGATTTGCAGCATCAAACTTTAACTTGTCTAACCATATATTTCATTAATAAATATGTGAAAATGAAATGTTGCATGATACAAAGATATAATTCAACATTATAAGAGTGTCATCAGCAAGGTAAGCACGACTATTGACAAATTAAGTATTATGTAGAATGTAACAAAATGGAATGTAAGACAACAGTGGTTTTAACATGCAACCCTCTTTTTGAAAAACTAATGGAATTTTCGGATAACGTGAGTTTCTTTCATACGCTGCCAATTACGCTTTCTTGATTAATGTATAGATGAACGTGCAAAGAGAAAAGAATGCAATTGTGATATTTACATAGTTTTCTTTCATCAATCTTTGTTTGTTGTCTAGTAAAACATTCTTACTTGTTTAGCACGTGCAATAAGATTACTCATGTAAGCTCTTTCTCGTGAGAAACTTTTGTATATCAGAACACAACACATGTTATATCCGAAGAGTAAACAAAATGTTATTTACATTCCATTGTAATGATTTTTATGTCGTTGAGTTTATTACTATAATTGCATTGTTCCCTACTTGCCCCAATCACTTCTTTATAAGATAATGTATTTGGCATTTTATTTCGATTGTTTACTTTAAAACAAGCAACGTATCTAAAGATGACCCTTTTAGTTTCGAATATTTCGATTCAATTTTACATAGAATTTTAACAAAATTTGCATAATAACAAGAAATGAACACAAATTTATAAATAAAAAGAGGTGTTGCTTGGCATAGTTTTGAGTAATCTGCCCTTGAAAATGACCATAAAGATATAAAAAAATCACTTCTAGGGGCAGATTACTTAAAGAAGGATGGTAACCCCCATCTTTTTCATCAATATTTATGAATTATGATACTTTTCATCTAGAAAGTTTAAGAAAATCTCAGTGCTAGTTAAAAATTTCTTTCTTTGCTTAAATAAACAAAATCAATTAGAGACATTTTTCCTTAACATTTACGAGTCATTGATTACTTCCCTTATTGATTGAACACGGCTTTCGCCTATTCAGTGCTAAAATGTGTATCATTTAATCCCTTTTGGGTAAAATTTTATGAATTTAGCATTGTTTTCATTTCCCCTCATTTTTGTATGTTTCCCGACTTGGTGCCTGACGACGATCTCGTTTGCATGGATGCTGATGACAGCTGCGTTAAGTGAACGATGTTCTCCTCTGTTGATCTTTCCTTTCAGAATTTGAGTCCAGAATAATTGATAAAGTTAAAGAAGATCAATTTAACGCAAACTAATGTTTATATAAACATAATTGCTCGTGTAAAAGCTGAAAAGTGATAACTTTAACAATTTTTGAGAAAAATACGTTGCAAAATTATGTTAAGACGCTGTTTTACCCGTGTCATACTGTAACTATGGGGAAATAACAACATATTAGACTAAGGAACAATTAAATCTGACTAAAATGCAGGCCCCTTTTGTTGTATATGACGATCTGATCGTCATTCTTTCTTTCTATTTCGGTTTATTTATACTCGGCGCCGGAAATTCCATATGTCCGAGAATATAGCATCCTTGCCGGTCCACTAAGGTAGTCTCATCGGGGACGTCTTTGTCAAGCTGAATCTTCCTGTAGCCCATTCTTTGTTCGTTGGCGGTAGAGGAGTACGACAATACTGGCCAGGCATCAAGTTCCATACTGACGATAACAAAAACGGCTCTCATTAGCGCCAACCCTCCAGAGTTAGTCACGACAGGTCAACCAATCACCTCTGGTACTTAAGATGACTTGACATTGACCTGCCGTGTGCCTTCTCCGCGACGTGCACGCCTCTTATCGTCAGTTACTCTGTTGCGCTTTTAAACCGACGAACTAAACAAAATGATTTATTTGACCAATCATTTAAAAGATGGTATCAGAGAAATGTAAGATACTTGTTACCTGAATAAAGTAGCGATAAATGTGATAAATTGTCATAAAAGTAGCAAAAAGTCTACAATGTTGTATTTGACTTCCGTATAAAACACTAGTTTTTGTATTTTCTGATCGCTGATCAGTAAATACATAACCTACATCCACGGTCTAACACAAAATTTCCTAACAGTCCTAACCACGCAAAGTAGTTAGTAGTCACTCAAAACTGCTTAAAAACCAGCAATTTAAAAGAAAGAACAATTTTTTGTTACAAGTGTCCGGCTTATAGAATTGTCAATAAATGCACACTCACAAATTACGCGGATGAATATAATTTTAATCAATGAAAATGCTATTTTTGGCGATGTCGATTACCGAATACTACACAAATAAATCTGACTGCCGAGTAGTTGAATATATAGTTTCTACATGTTGGACTGTTTGGGCGAGAAGATTTTTGCTAAATTATTTACTTCAATTTTAAACAACAGGTTTACCCTGAACAAAATACCTCGAAATTACCCTAACCCGAAATGCAATGGAAATTCTAAATTTAAAATGACTTGATTTTATTCAGCCTTTGCTGCTTTAAAAACCCGAAATGCAATATGGCAATTCTAAATTTAGAATGACTTGATTTTATTCAGCCTCTGTTTTCTGTACGAAATCTGCAGTGGTCATAGTATTATTTTTACAATAGGTTTATCTCTAAGATTTGGTTCGCTAAATTGCTAATCATGGTCATGCAACTACATAGTTAGGTGAAGAAGCAGGCGCTTGTTTTGGTTGAGTCTATTATGTTTTGTTTAGGGGGTTGAGTTGTCATACACAAATTTACAATTTATATGCATTTATTTTTTTCCAATGATTGTTATTATCTTAAATGCTTCTGGGATTGTTGTTTTATCAATTCATTTGTAAATAAGATTTTTATATGTCTATTAACGGAATAATTTTAATGAACACGAAATTAGTTCACACCTACATGTGTATTGGTAACGTGATGGTTTAAGCCAATGAAAACACGTCAAAATTATTATACTCAGGCAGAGAAAAAGTGTGCAAAGAGTAAATCGATAATCTTTATGTAGCCAGCAAACTTTGAATTGCAAGTATTTTTTCATATCTTTTCGGCAGAATAAAGTTTTCCAGGATTCGTATCGTAAAATGGCTGCCATTTACAGTATCAAGTGATTATCACAAGCACAACCGCGACTTAGCGCGGGAATTTTAATTATAGCTAACCTCGGCGCGTATACCTTTTCCATATTTTATTGTAATAAAAATTTACAAACTGTGTTTTTTTTATCAATATATAACCAATAATGAGGTTAATATGAATAATTAATCATATCTCAAAACTTTGACTATGATTTACAATGAAATTCTACCTTAAGTGTATTAAAAAGGTTTTTAATTTCCTGTAATTTTATTTTGTGATTATGCTTCAAAGCAGTCAATTGACCGTGAATTTTCTTTTCATATTTTGA